GAGTCAGTCAGGCGGTTTCTGCTCCAGCTCATACTTTCCGTTCACTCAAGCATATGTTTTAGACAGTATTTGCAACGTTCCTGGTCCGTTTCAGCTTCAGCAGAAGATAGCCGGACTTTTGGGCAGAAATAATTGCCACTGATCATTTTTGGTCAGTTTCAAGGTCTTCAACCAGTCGGTTGGTCAAGCAGTGGCTGTTTCACCTTTCCTCGTGAACACATTTGCAAGTCATGCCCATACCATCGTAGCTGGGACATCTCGATCGAGTGATACATATCTCAGTTATACACCAAGGCTCTCAAGGATAGCTCCGCTCTGGAGCTACCATATTCATATCAGAAACCCATTTCAACCGTGTACTCGAGATCACTGTTATTCAATCATAGTCAGTCCACGACTTATGATTATAGGTGAGCATAAGGATGAAGACCGACTTGAACACCGAAAGATTAGTCTTGAGACTTAGCTCTGCTTTGGTCACATCGGTAAAAGCCAATTCACACAAAACGCCACTGGTTGCTCGAATACACTTGTCGATCTCTTCAAAATTTTCAATCACTGGTAAACACGACCCTGAGATACTTGAACTTCCTTACCTTGACCACTGCTATTCAGATAATGTGACGATAGAGACGGGCACGAGAACGAGAAAGCACGAGCCTTTTCCTTTTAGATACGTTCAAACGCATGCTAGCCACGTCGCACTCAGCTGCGAACCTTTTCAGCGAGCACTATAGGTCAGTTTCAGGTACCAATAAAACAAGCTAAACAAGCTCGTCTGCAAACAGCAACCCTCGACTTCACATCTCCTACACCGATTGTACTCATCGCCTTGGCTGCTTCTCATTATTCTATCCATGTACAACAAAAAACGGGAGGGGGCAGAGCGCAATCTTGGCGGAAACTAGTGCCAACGCTGAAAATTTTCGATTTAACGCCATTTACTCTGACGCAACACCTGATATCAGCATATAGAGATTAGATGGCCTGTATCAACTGACCATCGATCCTATATGTTCGCGGCCATGGCCACAGACTGTTGCACGGGATTCTATCATAGGCCTTCTTTAGGTTCACGGAGAAAATGTAATCCGGATGAGCCGACTCTCACAATTTTTTAACAATCTGGCATCAGACCAAGATTTGATAAGAGGTTATTCAGTGTGACCTGAAGCCACATTGGTTTCCTTGCGTCTTAGGGTCAGTTATTCTGACACCGCCTTTCTAACATCTTTCCGTAGACGTTTACCGGTAGGCTCAATAGAGTAATGTTTCGATAGTTCAAACAGTCCCTGTAGTGTCCCTTCTTGAACGGTGTTACTACCAACCCAGTTCTCCAATCCATCAGAGTTTTCTTAGTTATAACAGTTTGACGACACGTGTTACCTACAATATTCCGTGTTTACTTAAAGCCTTATACAGTTCCAGGCGTTTCGTGAAGTCTAGCGTAAGTTTAATATCAGTTGCCTACTTCTGTTGAGGCGAGATTTCCTGAGATTGCTCGGAGTTTAAGGAATTCCTGTTTAAGGAATCTGTCCACCGGTGAGGTAAGTTCTCATCCGTGATAAGAGGGCGTCCGGATTTGTTCTTCAGAAATCTTAGACTCTTCTTTCCATCATAGAGGTAGCGCATGTTCTGCCAGAATACCTTGTTTGCGGTCTGGAAATTGGACTGCAGCATGTCACCGGACTTTTCTGATGAATCAGCGCTTTGGTGATTTTCTTCGCTGCTGCCTTGCGTGTTTCTTCATGCGATATTTGAACTGATTTTTCCTTGCTTCGAAGTTACCGCTTGAATGCAATCTTCTTATTGATAACAGTCAGTTGAACTTCTTGTTTCCACCACGAACATCGTTTCCGACTCCCAAGCGGCAGAGCAACCTGTTTTAAGCCATAGCAGTCGGCGGCAACCTCGAGTCAGCCGGCCTTAATGAGCTTCCACGCAGTTTCTGCGTCAGCTGTCATTAACAGGATCTGTTCGAACCGTCGTGCGAGACGTTATTTGCAAGTTTTGCTCTCTTATCCGCACGAGACAGTCGTTCCCATGTGATTCTCTGATAGCTTATGCCGTCAGGCTTCAAATGGTATAACAGATTCCGTCTCCATCGTCTACATCGTACGGTACCATCGACCAAATGATGATTGGCTGACACCTCTTCCCTTTCCTAAGCGCCGCAAGTCAGGTGATACTATTATCAAATCGATAATCGGCTTCTGTTCATGTTCTTCCTTCTGTCGGATATACCGATCTACGTTTTGACGCTAGAAGAAGG